TATATATGTATATATATATATATATATATATTAGACATTTTATGCGAATTAAAATATAATTGCATTTTGAATTATATAAATATTGGACAGTATTTAAAAGATATGTATATTAAATTCATACAATTAAAAGGTTAAAAAATAAGAGATCCATTATTTTTTTCTAATGTACACATTTGATTTATTCAAAGTATTTTCCATTTGAATTAATGCATTATTCCTAATGTATTTTTAATACATATAACTTGTTTTTGTAAATATCTTAGTTTTACTTTTAAAAAATTAGACAATGTCTCTTTAAACACAACCGTAAATTCTGTCTGTCTTTTATATTTAGTCATAAAATTTGAACGAATTTTATCGAATTGTCTTTGGATTCTGCTATTCCATCTAAATACGTTACATATTTAAGTAGAATAAATACATATTTCGTATAGCTTGATGTTTATATCATATAATTTATATGTTTGAATATGGCGTTAAATTGTATATAGGATGTCCTAAATAATAAAATAAAAATATCTCAAAAATAAAACATGTTGTTTTAAACAAAAATTATTGACAGTTACTTAAGAGCTATTAAAGCTGACATTTGTGTGACCTTAACTATCCTTGTTAAGGTCATGTCAAAATTACTTTGAATTTTTCAAATAAAAACTATATTTTTTATCACATATTCTTGTAGTTAACGTCGAGACATTTTTAAAGTATAATTAAATTCTTTTTCGTTATATCTTTTTACTTAAGAGTTCTTAAATTACAATAGCATTAACATTATTCAAAGTATACCATACATAGAAAAAGAATTACTCAATGAAATTAAAATATAGTTATGATAGTATTAGTAGACGTTCGATAGTTAAGATGTATCCTTGAAACGACGGCTAATATTGTTACCAAAAATCAATTTATTAGCTGTTAGAGTTTAGCTGCTACAATGAAACATGTTTAGCTGCTAGTACAATCAACACTTCAATGTCGCTAATAGAGATCCAATCTTTATTATATAGTTAGCAAACACAAATATGTCTTATAATATATATACTTATAAAAATATTAGCTCCTTAAATTTTTACACAAACTTAAAGGAAACTGTCCAAGTGCATCACAGAATTATACAATTTTGTGAACTTACCTTCAAGATATCACTTCACCATCATTTCATTAAAAATGGTTTAAAAATATTCATAATGTTATGTCTCTTATTCTCTATTGTATAGGTTTATATAGGTTTTTTAATTAGAAGAAATAAAATATTCCGTTGCGATCATCTATCGGCGATGTCACTGTCTACTCGCAGGTGAATGTTTCTTTCCGAACTCAAGAGATTAAGAAATAATTACTACTCTTTTAACTACTTATAAATTGACTTTTAATTTTAGCTAATAAAATTTTATTTTGCAACAAAAATATATCAGTTAATATCTAACTTTTAATAGACTGCAATAGGAAAGATTGAGCAATTACTTGTTTAATTAATATTATTAACTTTAGTTAATATTATTAATATTATTAACAAGTAATTTCTTTACGTGTATAAAGATTAAAATTTAAATCAATTCCTGTTTATCTGTCTTTTTTGTATTTATATGTGATATATGTATTAATATATGTGTGCTTAATTAGTGTTAAATTTATTTAAGAAAGACACCCTGTAACGAAACTGCTGAGTGATATGGAAAATATTTGCGCTAATCAAGTGCATTTACATTGTATGTATACATTTACATATAAAAAAAATAGAGAAGTGTGAATTAAGCCCTGCAATCTTTATCTTTATCACCATACATCTTAAATATCTTAAACATTATTGTAATTTTAAAAGCTTAAATTAAGAAGCTCTCTTAACAAAGGATTTACTTGTACTATTTTAAAAAACTTTTTAATGTCAACTATAAAACATAACTGTATAACACAACTATATACTATGCGATAAAAAAGGATAATTTTCATTTAAACAATTCATGATTATAACATGATATTGACAAGAACTTCCAATATATCGTTATATATCATAATTAAATAATTCTCTTGAGACCTAATAACTTTTATCTAAAACGTATTTCAGAATATACCGAAATATTTTACAAAGGACGCAAATATACTGGAATCTTTACATTGTATTACTCGCTGCAGAGGCGTTATTACAAGCATCATCGATGACAATAGTAGTTTAAACTTTACTTATTTGGTTTCTAATGACCTTGTGTGTATGTGCGTGCGTGTGTGTGTGCGCGCGCGCGCGCGTGCGTGATCACTGAATTCGGCATGAGAGTTACACATAGATTCAGAAATTAAGATTAAAAAAAAATAAACTTGTTCTTTATTTCATCTAGATACTCCCATGTACAGGCAAATTTTATTTCATAAAAAAATATGCATGCCTCTTAAAATCATATAATCTTAAAAAGACCAAATCTCTTGATATTTCATTTCTCGTTCTCGATATTAAAGTCTCTCTCTATTAAAGTATGAATGATTAAAATGAAACATATCCTCTATATATGATGTAGAATTTAATGCCACTATGAATTATATTTTCTCGTAAAATAGTAAAATTTTGTGTTGACTGCACCAACCTAATACAATTAAATAATCCGGAGATGAAAACACCGTGTTCAAGATATTTTGTATAAATAATTATTGTCGACGCATTGGGATTAAACCATTTATTTAACAATAACAATTGTTATATAAGAAAAAAATATCAACACAAAAAAAGATGTAAACGTCATACAATATATAATACCAAGTATATATAAGATATTGTTTGTATGTAAATGTATGATGAGTGTGTGCGCGTGCGCGTACGTGTACATAGAATTCCCATTTTAATGGAAAGAGCGCAAAATCTTGAAAACAATTAATAAAAAAATTTAGACAAAAATTGTAACATTTTGAGGAAGCCACATACTTATGATATTGAATTACTCACAGATAGAACCGCTATCGACATTTTTTATGATCATTTTTTTTTAAATGCAATTTTATTTTTTGCAATTTTGTACTTTTACATAATATAATTCCTCTAGTTATCCTGAATATAGAAGCAATATCAGAATAATATCAGATATCATATTATATAACAAAAAAAATGTATGATTCTATCTAAAAAAATTATGATTATAAAAAAAATATTGAAAATAATTCTATCTGTAAATAAATCAATATCATAATATCTTGAAACTTTGCAGTTTTGTTCTTTAAAATTTCCCACAATAATATGTCATTTACAAGAAATTCGAACTAGGCAATTAAAATAGGACATATTTGTATGTACAAATACATACATAGACACATGCACGCATGCATGCACGCACGCACGCAATGTGTTTGTATCAGCTTCTTTAAAACATATGTGTATATATATATATATATATATATTCTTATGTGTATATAAATATATTTGTTACATATCTAATTCATGCAGAGAACGCATTTGTTGCATGTGCGCCCACACGCACAGAATGTATTACACAAAGTATAAATCAAATATATATATTATCTGCCTTCTGCAATGTTTTTTCTTCTCACTCTCGTCTTGTCTACACCGATAATCCATTCCAATTTTTGTTTGGACACTTTAGGTTTTTCTTTTTACAGAAATTGTCTCTTGTTAGTGATTACTTTAAAATTATTTGTCCTTTTTCACGTCCGCCGCTCCATATGACGAACCTTTACTTATTTCCGACATTCCGAGGGTTTTGTACATTAGCAAATAAACTGTAATATGATTTATTTTCGTGAGAATAAAATCATGTTTAAGATAAATCAAGATCTATTCTATGACTTAGAAATATTGCAAATCCAAACTATTCAATTTAAATGAACCTTTATGATGAAAAGATATGCTTTCATTTTTTCACATATAACTTTTAAACTATGAGAGATAGAAAAAGATATTCAGAATTAAAGTTTACTGATAAGTAACAAGTTAAACATATATATAATATATATAATATAAACATATATATATATATATATATATATATATATATATATAATAATAAACAAAAAACTTGAAAATGTCTTCTAATTTTTCTTCAAATATTTTTGTCTTGTGACAATAATTAATTATTTTACTTATTAATTATTATTTTAATTATTATTTCACTTGAGTAGGTCAAGAATATTAAAAATAAGACATAAAATGAGCATGTGAGCCTCGCTGAATATACGTACTAATAATATATTTTATAATATTGTATTTTATAATGTTATGTAAAAAATATTAAAAAGATATTCAAAAGATATTAAACAGATATTTCAATCTGTAGTCATCTTCAGTGTAGTAAACAAGAGGCGATGAATTAAACATGTAGTTACATAACAGTTACATAAGAAAATTAAAACATAATACAAATCGTCAAACGGATAAAACATTAAAAAAATAGCATAAATTTTTGGAATGTCAGACGAGTAAAAATAATATAAAAAATAATATAAAATAAAATAACGCACTTATGTGAGATTTGAAGGACTCATGCTCACGCGGCTTTGCACGCTGTGACGAAGCTAGTAGATGTGTCTGCGCGGAAGAAGTGAGATAGCGCATTGGAATAAAGTGATAAGAAATGTAACGAAGCGTGTGAGCGATAAAAACGTTGCTCTCTGTGAGATCTGATTTTTACAATTACATTACGGATTATTACATATTGAAGTTTCTATACAATGCGTTTCTACTGTACATTTTTATTTACCATCCATAATCCTACACTTATGCGTTTGAAAAAACAAACAAGTTGAACAAAAGATTCCAAAGAGAAAAGCACGCATGATATCATTTTTCTGTGAAGATTGAGAAATCCCTCAGGTGTATAATTCCTTCGACATACAATGAAATGACAAAAAAGTGTTGTAAAATCATCAAGAATTGTGCTTCATTAATTGTCTATGAAAATCTGAGGATAGATTTCCAATCTTTCAATATTACTCTAGAACCTCTGCTGCGTACTGGATATAGTAATTATTATGAATACACAATGTGTATCTATTGTGCTGACAAGTTTTCAAATAAGAATTATTTCTATATATTATCATTTATACCCGCCTGATATTCCCATGATTTACACTATCTTTATAATGTTTTCCGGTTATAATATGTATTCGATTGACATTCACATTATCATGATTTACATTATCTTTTAATTTTCCTTGACATTCCAATGATTTATACTATTTCTAATCTTTCTAATGTTTTCGTATTTATTTATACTATCTTTCCAATGTTATCTCTTTAAAGACATGAATTATCTTTTAATTTTCTTATTTATGTAACTGTCTTATTTATGCAATTACATGCGTTTAATTCACCATCTCTTGTTTATTACACTGAAAATAATTCGATTAAAATATATTAATATATTATAATATATAAAATATATTAATATATCGCACCCAGCGAGGCTCACATGCTCATTTCACCATTTCATTAATAATCATCTTTTAAATTTCTCTTCTTAGTTCATAATTTATCATTAAACTTTGATTTTAAATAATGACTGTACATAAATACAGCGTAAACAAAGGAAAGTGAAATGGAAGATTTAGATTTAAAATGAAAGTTTATCGATCAGATCATTCATGAAAGTTCACCAATCAGGTTCGATCAGTTTTTATTTTGTCACTCAGATTTCATCTCTTTCGCTCAAGTCTATTTAACAATCTATCCATATACTTCTATATCTATATTCTAAATAATTCTTTTAATTTTTTGTAATTTAAAACTTCAATAAAAGAATAAAAATGCCTTTTTAATTTCGAGATTAAAAATAATATCTAAATAGTGACAAGATATGAATAACATATATTACGATTCGTATAACGATTTACATTATATATTCACAAAAGTTCAAATGGAAGAGTTTGGATGTTTCTTTATTACTGCTTTGCACGCATGTGTGCACAAAGAAAACTATAAGCAATAGAGCTTAAGTAAGGAGCAAATCAATCAATCAGTCTCAAAACTCAATTCTCTATGTTAGTTATATTCGAAATTTAATTAAAATATAATTATGTATATATTAGTATGATGAATTGAAGTGTGACTGATGTGATTAATAACTGAATATAAGCAAAAATAAATGATAAAGATGGAAAATACTACTTACATAAAAAGATAATTCCAATCCCCATAATAAAGTGGAAGCTCGAACCGGATAGGAGAAGCCTTAGAAGATAATAGAGCATTGGTACAAGAACAACTATCGCCCAGAATATGGTGTTAATGAGGGAATAATATCTTCTTTTTAGTCTGAACGAGTCTGTCCTAGGCACTCCGCTCGTGGTAAAAAAATCGCCGGTTTTATAGAAACTCTCCGTCATACGATCCTATCAAGCAAAAATTTCCATCTAGCGTTATCGTATTAAACTATCGTCATCAAAATAAACTAATTCATTTATTGAAGATTCTTATACATTATTTTGTTCGATTCAATCATAAATTTACAAGCTATCAATCCTGTTAATATTCAAAAAAATAATGTAAGTTAAAATTATTAAATTTGACAATGCTTAACTTAAACAGATTAATGTTGATTATATATCAATGTATAATGATAATATGTTAACTATCTTTGTAGAAAACAAAACTACTTAAATTCCTAATTTGTGTAAGCATTTCTACTTAAATGCAGAAAGCATTTCTATATATTCGACAATCAATTTCTGATTGCATTACAGAATAAATATTTCTATGAAGAAAATTTTTGTTTACATATAGAAAAATGCAATCTTAGTACATAATATAACACTACCTTTTGCTGATAGAGCTTGTGCAACCATTCAGCAGCAGCTTCGTCTCCCTCCGGCACTTCTTCAATAGGAATTCTTTTAGCATACATATGTCCTTCGAGCCGTTTCCCAAGAAGAAGATTCCTCATGGTTGGCTTCACGGGATCACATGGTTTGAATGCTATCTGAATGTCATAAATGGCCGTTGCTTTGCCTCTCATGTGCGGAATACTGGCGGTAAAGCCTTTTGTGCGTGGCGTTAAATGATACTTTAATACTGGTAGACCTTTTTCAATAGCAAATTTCTGACTGGCTTCCAATTTCTTTGGTGTAAAACGCGTACCCTCGGGATAAAGCAGCAGCTATAATCAATCCATTTATAAATATAATTATTTTTAGTAGCAAATGTCATCAAATGATTTAAAATGACTCGCTTTAAATTAGCCAATATATTCGCGTTTACACGAAAAAAAAAAAAAAAAATACTTACCCACATTGTATCAGGATACTCGACAAGTTCCTTAATTTGACCTTTGATATTCTCTTTATCCTTTTCCCAACTCCTCTCAAGAAAAATACTTTCAGCAAATTTCCATGCCCATCCCAATGTAGGAATATACTGTATTGACTTCTTAGCATAAGCTTTGCAATTCTAAAAAATATGAGTTTTTCTAAAATAAATATTCTTATTATACATACATACACACACACACATATATATATATATATATATATAATAGAAACTCATTCTCTTTAAAGAAATTTCAAATTAATACATACACCTAGTAATCTCACACGATCGCATAGCAGCCAACCTATCAGCCAATCAGTTTCATAACTGTGATTCATCAGAAGATATCCATGTTCATTACCGAAATATTTATCAAAGTCTTTTTTATCTATATATAATACCAAATCGGACCCTGCCCACCATTCTGCCATGAATACTAATTCTGACAAGGATAAAGTTTAAGTGATAAGGATAAAGTTAATTGATTTTTTAGAAATAAATAAGGCTAATGAAATATGTGATGAGGCAAACTTACGACAATAGAAGGAATAGCAAAGATAATAATTAATTTTGCGGTAGAGATATTTGGAAAAGGGCCTCAGTCCAAGATATAAAATGCATTGGAAGAAGTTTATTATCAAGCCAGATGTAAAAAATGTAATAGCAAACATAAGATGTATCACCGACCATTGTTTCACAGAGGCAAACACTCCCATGATGATAAATAAATAATATTAGATTTTATGCTTTATAGAAAACATAAATGTTTGATTTCCTAGCCTGCAACAGAAACAAATTGGTAAGTATTTAAAGATAAGAAGAGAAAATTGTTCCTACTAAAAAAGTTTCTACTTCCTTGTAAAATTTAATTAAAATAATTATTATCATACCAAAAGAAAATGATGATTTCCAAATTATTTTTATCATTCATGCATGATATTAGGCAATTATATATACAAATGTTTATGCAAATAACTTGCTTGAGAGAAAAAGAAATCATCTCATTGTTACAATATTCTGATATTCTCATATAATAGCGATTAAACTATATAGTATCAGTTAATTTATTAGCAAAGTTAATCGCACATGAAAAAATCAAATCATATTTACATAAATTATGTCAAAGTATATAATTAAAAGCAATAATATATAATCAATATGTTATTATGCATATTAAATAATCATTACATATCATATTACATATCATTACATATCATAAATAATCATTACATATCAAATAATAAAAAATATAAAAGTTATAAGATTTCTACATATGCAACAAATTTTTATAGTTAATTTGTTTTGCTAATTTCATTATAAAATCTATACTAAAAACTAACTTATCTGTATTTTTTTCTTATAAAAATAAATATATATAAAACATCAGTCTTTAAATTTTTGTCTTGAGCTATTTAGATTTAAAAAACTTATTAAATTTGTAGTCTTTTTAAAATTTTTTAAGCTATTGTAATTTTTTATAAGACCTATTACATGATTCATATCAAACACAAATCCAACAAGTGTTAATGAAAAAATCTGAAAGAATAAATTATCATTGTTAGAATAATACTATATAATGCTATTTACAAGTTAATACAAATTGCAAACTATCAGATATTACATCGGAAATCAATAATTTAAAATCAAAAACAGCACTGTGAAACACAACATCTAAAAAAATCTAATAAACAATAAAAGCTTATACAAACTTTAACAGTAACAATAAAAATAAAATGTATTAGACAATTATAGTATTTCAATTTACATTTTATACAATACAACATTTAACATTACTTATAGTTATCTTAAAGAAATTTATAAAATGCGATAATACTTAATATACATTGTAAAACCTTTTTAATTTTCTTATCTTCTAATTTACAAAGTGTGCAAAAATTGGAAAAATTTTCCGCAAACTACTTTTGGGATTGTCGAATCTTACCTCAAATTAATATACCTGGCGAAAAACGTGTGTACAGGAAGGAGCTGTGCGCTGGTAGGTGTTAAATGTGAGTAAGATCAAAGTGCGGAATTCCAAAGTTCATTAAAATAGTGCGTAGATAATGTGCTTCGTGCAGATCTTGGCGTTGCTGTTCCGTGCTCTGTACTTGATCAAAATCAGGACGCCTCCATGCTGTGCGCGCGCGAGTATAAATGATGATGCGACCGAACGAATCAGCCGGCCTTATCCCTCATCCCTCACTGTCCCTCAGCCGCGGATTAGAAATATTATAGCAGAGACCACATAATGTAAGAAGAAAGATGTGAAAGGTGAAACATTTCGTATAATGGCAGCTTCTTGAAGGCTGGATTCGTAAACCGCATAGGCGCATCTTTATCTATAGTTCATGTCATATACAGGATCTGTTCTTTTTACCTGAACTGGCTGCACTAGTTCAGAGTTTTTCTTCTTCCAGTGTAAGAAAGAAAGATAAACTGTGAATTAGTGAACTAGCGAACTAGTTCAGCCAAAAAGAGCAGGCCTACAGTGTCGTCTGTGTACGTTGCTGGAAGCACCCAATGAAAAGAGACAGGCACAGGGAATAGCAACAGTCGACAGATTTCGACCAATCAGAAGCTATGAAGAATATCAAAGATATTTCTGATTGGTCGAAAACTCACATTGCGCATCCTTCGGATGGTCCTTCGGATGATCCTTCGGAGGTCACCTTTCTTCTTACACCAGTGTAGTTCCAGTGCAACGAAAAGGAACAAACCTATTAACTTCCTAACTTCATGATGTCGCGTGCGGCATTTGTTTGCACTGAAGTTGTCTTTAATAGATTTGTTGTTATATAGCGATCAGATCACTAGTGTTGTAAACTGTTGAGATTGTTACAAAAAGCAAAAGGGCTCGGTTCAATGCGTATCTAATTTTATCAGATTTTCGCAGAGGAAATGAGTTTTCCACAGATCCATTTTCATATAACACTTTTTTTAGTAACATCCTGTGCTAGGTTAGATTGCCCAACTGCACTGTAAATCCTATAACTACCACTTGAAAAATATAATAATCTAATTTGAAGAAGTCGTTAGAGTTAATTATGGGCTCGTTGAACCTCATCTGTCCTATGTGTTGTGGCGAGACCTTCAATAATCCTCAATCCCTCAAATACCACTTGTTAAGTATGACAGACAATCTATATTGCCCTGGCTGTTCGCAGCGTTCTGACTCTGTATCAGCACTCATTCAACATCTGGACATGTGCGAGCAAGATTTGAAATACAAGGTGAAGCCTGAAATTATGACTGACAAATTTAGGAAAGGCGGGAAAGAATCTGAGATTAAAATGGATGTCCTAATGGTATAGAAAACGAAAAGTTTTTTTTTATGCAGTTTACATAAGGATTTAGTTATAAATTTCTTTAACATTTTTATTATGCTATAGAATTTGTTATTTTAAATATTACATAAAATAAAGAATTCTTAATAATTAAAATATATAATTGAACAAATCTTAAATGAAATTCTTAGAAGTTTTAAGGCTTAAGATTTTTAAAATATAAAATCTGTGATAGATAAAAATTATGTCAACATTTCAATAATGTTATGTATTTCGAATATATGAATTATTTGTATTATTGTAGTGTATATATATATATAAAATTCTGATTTGAATAATAAAATTCAAGAACTAAAAGATATAAAATTATATTTTGTTGCTGCTAGAGAATTTTTTATTTATAATAAAAATTATACAACTGTTGTTAGATGCAGATGAACTAATTTATAAATTTTAAATAAGACAATATTTAAAACAAAGTTTTATGCATATAAGAGACTGTTTAAAATAATTATTAAATCATTATTCTTTTTTGTACTAAAAATCTTATTCTTTCTATAAATATTAATTTCAGGATATTAAGGGACAACAAATCAATCGGGGCTTTCTTGCAACTATGAGTGACAATGGGGTTGTCATAATGGGTGATCCACAGATGATACAGATGGATGAGAATGGTTTGTAGATTTGCTGTTTTGTTGTGTAAAAATTTTGTCATTTAATTGCTATTTCTAACAAAAACATCAGGAGAGATTAAAGTCATAGAAAAGATGGATACGGAAGGGATGCAACCACATCAAAATTCTCTGGATTTCAAGATGTCCGAAGGACTATCCGATATTACTGGTGGAGTACAAAGAAGATCGCAGCCGTCGCAAGGATTAGTGGCTATTCCCATATCAAATGCCAATGTAGATTGCAAAGCGACATTGATGGAAAAGAGCATAATTGCCGTATTACCAGAAAATTCTGAGCTCTTGAATGGAGAGGCTACAGCTTTGATCAATGTGGATCGCATAAATGAGGCAGAGGAGATTGACAAGTCTGGTTTTTTGCAAGTCAAACGAGAACTATGCGAGGTATATCGAAAACTAGATGATGTTTAAATTTGTACCTTGTGTATTTGGTGAATGTCTTTTTTAAATTGGTGATTCGATTTTGTACAATATTTTTGTTTTTTACTTGTAGCTCGAGTCTGATGCTGTGTACAGTTGTACCAGTTGTGAAATGAGCTTTAATTCCGTCCTAGAGCATATCAAGCAATTCCACGATGGCCAAGAAGTTTTATTAGAAATGGCAGAACAGTTGAATGATTTAGAGACGACGAATCCAACATCTGCAACATCTGAAGGCTCAGAAAATATGGTAAATGCACGACAACGGCAAACAATGAATACATTGCGCACTGAAGAATGTGTAGACAGTGAAGGTAGGCTCTACACTAGAAGAGTAGTACAAATTGAGAGATTCTGGGATCGTACTCCAATTCAAGTCACAACATCACAGTCAACAAAGTCTCCTATGATTGAAAAATTCTTCTCAAATGTAGAAGGAGTTAAGGTGCGATTTAAGACGCACTGCTCAGTGGAAGAATAATCCATCTATATCATATAAAGATTAATATATTTCTCTAATATAAATAACATTGTATGTAGGTACGAGAAAAACAATGCTTGGCGACTGCATCAATGCAAATGTATAAGTGCAATCAATGTTTGCAGCAGTTCTCCAAGTTAGGAAATTTTCGCGTGCACGCCTGTCTCCGAGGCAATAATCGTTGTGAGCACTGCGATCAAAACTTTGCAACTCCTAAGGCTTTGCAACTCCATGCAAAGGTGCACGAAAACGAAGTTGATCTGAGCCAGAAGACATTTATTTGTACTATATGTGGTACTGAATTTTGCTCCCACAAAAGCTTACGATTGCATTCTAGGATGCATGCCCCAGTGAGAGCCAGACATGTTGATGCACCCGAGGGTACTCCTAATGCAACTTTCATCTGCTCTGAATGTGGTAATAAATTTATTCTTTCTCGTTTTTTTTTCTTTTAAATTGATTATTAACTTGATTCACATTATAAGAATAGTGGCGTTTCATTAAATTTATTAGTTTACAAATAAAGAAACAGTGTGAATCTAAATTCTTCAATTTTGTAGATATGTGAAGTGATTCTATATATAAATAACAGTATATCATATCATTTGTGCTTCATCGTTCTTTAAAGATATAATTTTTTATTTTAAAAATCAAAAAAATGATAAACTATTAACTACAAAACAACATAGAAAGTAAAAAGAATCTTTTTTTTTTTAATATTTTTTAGGGAAGATTCTAAAAAAAGATTTTTAAATTTCTGTGTATTTTACTTTGTAATCAATAACTTATAATTAAATTTTAAATTAACTGTAAATGTTATTCTCTATTTCTTATAGAAATTTAGTGTATATATGTTAAGTGTGTGTGTATATATATATATATATAAGTAAATTTAATGTATAATATATTAAGTTACTTTACATATTTACAAAAAAAGTTCATTTGAATTGAAGAATTCAGATTCATAATATTTTCTCATAAGTCATTAAACAAATATATAAAAATACATAAAACAAATCATAAAAAATTCAAGAATCTGAATATCTCTATGCTGTTTTTAAATAGCAGAAAATTGAAAATAAGAATTGAAATTGAATTTATAAAGTTTATGAGTTGATAATGTAATTACTATTATCATCAATATAGTAATAATAATTTTTTATGTGGATGTGCAAAAGAAATTATAACTTTCTCTCTCTC